TAAGATCCTTACCCCTCCAAAAAAAAAAAAAAAGAAAAAAAGATCAATTGTATCCTCTTGCTCCCACCGCCACAGAAACCACCTTTGATAAAAAGAAGCTACATTTCATTCTAGCCACAGAAGAGGGTGCTGTAGAACTGAGAAACCTAAGAAACCAGCTTATCTCCCTTCTCCCTTATCACAAGATAATTTGCTATGGCTAATCCTGAAAAAAAGCCAATACAAGCATTCCTCAACAGAAACAGAAGCCAACTCTTGTACAAAGTTACTGTAAAACAGAAAGGTAAAATTGAAACCTTTCGATAAATTAGACACACACACACATATACACACACACACATAGACACGTGCATATGCACACAGAGTATGAAAACAGAAAAAGGAAAGAAAAACATGACAGAAGAATTCTGAAATGCTGCACTTGAACACAAATCATGTCTATTAAGTAAGCGGTTGCACTAGAAAAGGACAGTGTGAGTGATGCCCAAACATTTACAATTGAAATGGGCATACAGAAGGAAGACCTTTGAGACAAGAAGTGACAGAACTCAGGAAAGAAACAGACAAAAAACAAAAATCATTTTGGAAATAAAAACTAAATTACAGGGTGCACAAGGGGAGATGGATATTACCAAAAGTTAAGTAAGAGGCATAGACAATAAATATGAAAAAGATTCAAGAAAATGATACTGAAATAAGAAAAAAAGAATCGGAGAGAAAATGAAACACAATTTCATTATATTAAGGCTTTGAAATAGAAAAAGAAATGGAAAATGAACAGAAACAATATTTAAAATAATTAAATATTTTTTTCTGAAATAAACAAATCTGAATTTCTGTGTTGAAAAGACTTGTTTCTTGTGTACATAGGAGAATTGCACTAACAACCAGCTCTTAAAGTATACTCTAATGTTAGGTCTTGAAATGAAAGGAGAAAGACCAAAAAAAAGAGAAAAAACTCAAGTAAAAAAAATGAAGAATTTAAAATTAAAAATAGATAAAAAAAAGAAAGAAAACTTGATATTATGCTTCTTGAAGAAAACAATAAACATTTTTAAGAAATTATGAACATGAAACATTTAATAGATTGTGAAACACTAAATAAGTAAAATAATTTTTTTTTGACAGGCAGAGTGGACAGTGAGAGAGAGAGAGAGAGAAAGGTCTTCCTTTTGCTGTTGGTTCACCCTCCAATGGTTGCCGCGGCGGCCGACGCACCTCGCTGAATCGATGGCAGGAGCCAGGTGCTTCTCCTGGTCTCCCATGGAGTGCAGGGCCCAAGGACTTGGGCCATCCTCCACTGTACTCCCGGGCCACAGCAGAGAGCTGGCCTGGAAGAGGGGCAACAGGGACAGAATCCGGCACCCCGACCGGGACTAGAACCCGGTGTGCTGGCGCCGCAAGGCGGAGGATTAACCTAGTGAGCCGCGGTGCCGGCTAGTAAAATACTCTTATGTCCTAGTGATACCCATGTGAATTGCACTTTGGCTTTGGAAAAATGCTGCCTTTATTAAAATTTTCAAGCATATCTTGGATAAATGCTAAAATATTTAGATGTAAACTGTCAAATTGCAAATTACTTTCAAAAATAGTTCAACAAAAATAATATATAAAATGCTTGATATTTTATAACAATTATTTCATTTAAAAAGTTACTGAAAACAAATTGCAGGATTTTGTGTATTTGCATGCTTACAGAAATGCCTTTTATATTACTGAGAAACATTTTATAAGTAAAATCTATTCCAATTTTTTTAAAGATTTATTTAATTTACTTGAGAGGCAGAGTTACAGAGAGAGAGAGAGAGACATAGAGAGAGGTCTTCTATCGCTGGTTCACTCCCTAAATGGCCACAGTAGCCACAGCTAGGCAGATCCAAAACCAGGAGCCAGGTGTTTCTTCTGGGTCTCCCACGTGGATGCAGGGGCCCAAGTACTTGGGCCATCTTCTACTGGTTCCCCAGGCCATCAACAGGGAGCAGGATCAGAAGTGGGGCAGCCAGGACTGAAGCCGATGCCCAAATGGGATGCTGGCACCTCAGGTGGATGCTTAACCTACTATGCTACAGTGCCACTAGCCCCTATATTCCATCTTTTTAAAAAAATTTATTTGAAAGGCAGGGTTACAGAGAGAAGATGAAACAAAAGAGAACAAGCACATTAGCAGGGAGCTGGAACAGAAGGGGAGCAGCCAATACTTGAACTGGGGTGGGGGTGGGGGTGGGGGTAGGGGTAGGGGTTAGGGGGAGAGAGAGATTGATTTTGTATCTGCTGATTTACTTCCCAGATGGCTTGTACAGCTCAGACTGGGCCAGGCTGAAATCAGGAGCCGAGCCTGGAATTCCATTCTGGTCTCCCACATCATGGCTGTTGCCTGAGCACTTGAGCCATCATGTCAGTAGGAGGCTTGACTGGATGTGGAGCAGCTGGAACTCAAACTAGTGCTCATATGGGATGCTGGCAGCGTACCAAGAGGTGGTTTAGCCCACTGCACCACAGTGCAGGTCTGCAAGACTGAATGTTTTGAGACAGCTTTTTTCCCTCCATGATTAGTGGGAATCTTCAGGGTTCCCAAAAATTAAGTTAATTTTATGCTAATTCTGCAAGTTTTACAAAGTAACTTTACTTAGAAAAGAGGTTATTGAAACTCTTAAATCATATGCAAACTTTTGTCTTTATTTGTAAATCTACATTTTTCTTGGGAGAGATTCCAGAGTTCTCATCAAATTGCTTAACTGTAGCTCTAGAAAATTAGACCCATCTTGTTTCATTAATTACTCTAGGTAATTCAAAGTTTAGATTTTTAAAATCTAATTTTCATTATGTATAATTCACAGAAAAAACAATAAAGGAAATATTTAAACATGCTTAGTCTTTATTGTCTTAAAATTCCATGTTTATTTACTATTTCAGAAAATGTTGATAATTTGAAAAACTTGTTATCAATTTTGTTTGAAAAGATTTTTTATTTTAGTTTTCTGCCCTTCACTATTTACTGTTATATTAGGTATGCATTGTGTCATATTTGCATCTCCTATTCAGTGTAGGTCTTAAAGAAAATGTTTTCCATATCAAATAACCCCTGAGTTGTTTTTATTTCATTTTATTCATATATTCATGTATTAATTCAGCAGACATTTATTGAATCTTTATTATATGATAAACATCATATATACAAAGAAGAATAAAACATGATTTTTATGTTCAGGAATGTAAAAAGAAAGTGCCTGGTTGGGAATAAATTTTTAAAAAGAATAAGGGGAAGATGTTTTCCACACTGGTTAAGAAACTTCATTTCATGCTTGTAAAGTATGTCAGAGATCCTGGGTTTGAGTTCTGCCTTTACTCCTGATCCCAGCTTCCTGCTAACGCACACTCAGGAAAGAGCAGGTGATGATTTAAGTAGCTGGGTCCCTGCCATCCGTATGAGAGACCTAGATTAAGATTCTGCCTCCCAGCCTCAGCTTCAGTTTGGCCCAGCCCTAGTTGTTGCAGGCATTTTGGGAATGAACCAGTGGATGGGAAATCTCTGTCTCTTTCTTTCTCTTTCTCTCTCCTTTTTGAGTAAATAAATAAATAAGTTTTTTTGGTTTGTTTCTTAAATAAGCAAGAGAATTGGTGTTTGGTCCAAATAAATGTAACAGCATGGGAAAGTAAGAAATGTAACAGCATGATGGGGGAGGTGCAGGCCAGTAGCTGAATATGGCCAATGGTAGGCCAGAGCACAGAGATGTCGCTAGGGGGAAAGTTTGAAAGTGTTTGGAGCCAGATGTGAAAACCTTTAAATGATGTGATAAAAAGCACCCTTGACCTTACTCCAGCTAGAATGGCTCTAATACAGAAATCAACAAATGATACAAGTTGGAGAGGATGTAGGGAAAATGTACCCTGATCGACTGTTGGTAGGAATGTGAATTGGTGCATACTCTGTGGAAGACAGTATGGAGATACATGAGAAATCTGAATATAGACCTATCATGTGACCCAGCCATCCCACTCCTGGGAATTTACCCAAACCAAAATAAATCAGCACATGAAAGAGTTATCTGTACTCCCATGTTCACTGCAGCACAATTCACAGTAGTTAAGATATGGAATCAACTCAGATATCCATCAACTGTAAACTGTATAAAGAAATTATGGTGTATATATACACTATGGAGTACTACTCAGCTGTAAAAAAAAAAAAAAAAGTGAAATCCTGCCTTGTGCAACAAGATGGATGTAACTGGAAACCATTATACTTTGTGAAATAAGCCAGTCCCCCAAAGACAGATATGTTTTCCCCGAGCTGAGGTAACAGAGTACCTGAAATGTAATGTAAATGTAATGTATTGGAGTGAAATAGACATTTTGAGGTTCAATGATTGTTTATAGCCCTTGTCTCTTCCATTGAGGAACAGTGATTTTTTTTTCTCTTCATACTATTTGTTGAACTCTTTTACTTAGAGTAGGGTTAACTATATGATCATAAGTATACTGAAGTATTCTAAAAATAGATCTTTGTAAAAATTAAGGGTGAGAATGTGGGGGAGGGAGGAAGGGTTGGAGTGTGGGTGTGAGGTGGAGGGAGTGTCACTATATTCTTTAATCTGTATATATATAATCTGTATATATGAAACTTGTATAACTTAAATAAAATATAAAAAAAGAAGAAAGCATCCTTGAGGAACAGAGAGCTCTTACTTACCTTTAAGTCTCAGAGTGAAAGACAGGATCTGAGACCATTAAATAATGTTAGCTTATCTTATTACACTGTAATTAAATACAATCTGGATATATCTTTTATCATTAAAAATTTTTTTATCATTAAAAATATCATTTTTGTCATTAAAAGTTGTATTAGGTGATCTTTTAGAAGTTATTGGTAAATATTGATTATTTCCAAAACTTACATTAAATGTATATATTTAAAAATATTTCACATTTGTCATATTTAAATATTTGCCATATTTAAAAATGGTATTTTCTTAGCCTTCTGTTTTTTATTTTTTTTACAGCTTTAAGGAAGACCGAATGGATGAAGAGCTAATGGAACCTCTTAAATATGCTGAACAACTTCCTGTAGCTCAGATAATACACCAGGTTTGCTTTCCATTTTATTCTTTTGAAAAAAACAGGAGTTTTAATCTCTGAAAAGTAATTGCTTTTGTTAGGTTTTTCGGAATCAATGTGCTGTGGCTGAAAGGCATTCCAGGCTGTCTGTCCCTATTTAGACTGCACCTATTACTGTTGAAAGTCTCTTTCAAAGCACAATGGTAAAAGGCTACTTGCTGTGTAATAATAAAATTCTTACTTATATAAAATACAGGGTAAAATCAGAATTATCTTTTGTGTATTACTTAACAACAAAACTTAATTTCAGAAAACTTTCATTTTGAACCATTGTATATAGTACTTGTTAGTGACAAGGAAAAAGAACTGAAAAAGTATCACTTAGTATAATTTTTTGGAGTAGCTAAAAAGAAAAAACAGTCTTACCCTACTTTCTCCACCTCACCCCATTATCAACCCTTGTAAAGTGTAATTCTAAATGTCATATGGGCAATTTGTTCATTTCCAATTATAATGACTCTGTCATTCCTTCTGTATAACTATAATCTTAGAGAAGGCAGTGTTGTAAGTATTTAAGCTTAGACTTTGTACTGTAATTTTGACAACATATAACCTCTGCCCTGCTGGGCCAGAATCTAACAGTTTTAAATGGTCTGTTGACTAGAGTTACAGCCTTTAGACCTAGAAGATTTTTCAGAGCCTTTCAGATGATTGGAAATATTAAAAGTCTTTCCATGTCAGAATCTCTCAGAATTGTTATGAATGTTAATTTTTATTGTCAGTCTTTCCATATGTCATTTTCAATCAAAAGAATGTATTTAACTGATATGGGTCGATTAGAGGAAGAAGTCCTAGTTTGAGCTTATTAAAAGAAATAGAAGCTTTTTTTTAAAAAAAATTATTTATTTGAAAGTCTGTTATAGAGAGGGATCTTCCATTGGTTCACTCCCCAAGTGGCCACAAAGGCAGAGCCAAGCTGAAGCCAGGAGCCTTGAGCCAGGGCCCAAGCAGTTGGGCCGCCTTCCGCTACTTTTTCAGGGAGCTGGATTGTAAGTGGAGCAGCCCAGACTTGAACTGGTGCCCATAGCGTCCTTCCTTTTTAAGAGCATGGAAGCAGCTGTCACATTGTGCTCAAAGGAATGAGCTGTAGACAATTGGTAACAGTAAGTTCAGATAGCTACCCCTGTACCCCAGTCTTTCTTTAAAAAAACCTTCAAAGTCTGTATTTTAAAACCATACCCAAAAAGCTTATGGATGTGCCATAAACCCCGAGGTAGAATATAGTTTGCAATGAATAGTCCCCCTCCTGTCTCCCCACCACAGAGCTCACCTTATGAACCAGAGAGGTGCTGGTCACTTTTGGGGGACTCCTGCTTTTCCGACTACTTCTCTACATCTGCCCGTGCTCCTAATGAAAACAACCTGTTCAGTCCTCATCCCTAGCCAGGCTCCTGTCCAGTGGTTCACAAAGTGGACATTGCATCCTCTGCAAAGGCTATCCGTGAAATTTCCCCTTGGCACGACCATTTTGACATCTGAGTTCCTACAGGAGTAGAGTTCACGGCTCCTCTCTCTGTGCCTCATAAAAACAGTTCTTTGACTGAAAGGCCTGGTAGGCGAAGAAATAGAAGCTTTTACTTTAAAATGTTGGCTATGTAGATCTTTTCATCGACATTAAAATTTAGTTTTAAAATTCTGCAAGAAATTACCAAAAGCCGATCAGGAATTTGCTCCTCTGGGAAGCTCATCTGTGCTTGGTAATCAGGTCCAGTTTGTATGTCAGGAATTCCCTAGTGTTGTCAGAGCTTAAATGACCTAAGAGTCTGCAAATGTCACATTTAAAATTCTGTCTTCATGGCTGACTCTTGGCATAAATGAATTAAATAGCAGAGCAGGCAGCAAGTCAATATGTTCTTAACAGTAAGAGTGAGCAATGAAACAGTTTGTGGTTTGTTCAGAATAGGTAAATAGAATCCTCCCAGAACAGTTCTCCTAGAATAAAATCTGAAAGAGTAACCAAGAATTAACCTTTAAGATGGTTGATCAGATGAAATGTCAGTAGTATTTTTATAGTGTGAATGAACCAATAACTACCTGGTTTGTGTAACAGCTGCATTTTGCTATTATCCCTTGTGTGAATTTAAAGATGAAAATTTTTGACTCTGCTGAAAATTTTAGATTGTATTTTTTGCAAGTATAGGATACTGTATTAATTTTAATATTTAAGTTTAAACATAATTACAATTCTGCAGTACTTATTTTATAAAATTTGATATTTAAGAAGTTTTCTATGATATAAGAATTTAATTTATTGAATAAAATTAATTGTTCTCAAAACAAGTTGAAAAGGTCATTGTTAGTACTTTTTGTTATTGCCCTTTTTTGATAGTGCTACAGCTTGGAGACTATTACATTGGCCTGTCCAAGTGGTTTTTAAGAAACATGAGTAATGTTGCCAGAAGTTCACTTATAAGTGAATTATTTGAAAGTGACATTGTCCTTCAGGACTGTCAATTTGTTAAGTCAACAACAGGAGTCACTGTGCACTTACTCCTCATGTAGGATCTTTGTCCTTAGTGTGCTGTACATTGAGATTTAATGCTATAACTAGTACTCAAACAGTATTTTTCACTTTATGTTTCTGTGTGGGAGCAAACTGTTGAAATCTTTACTTAATGTATGCTAAACTGATCTTCTGTATATAAAGAGAATCGAAAATGAATCTAGATGTGAATGGAAGGGGAGAGGGAGTGGGAAAGGGGAGGGTTGCAGGTGGGCAGGACGTTATGGGGGGGAAGCCATTGTAGTCCATAAGCTGTACTTTGGAAATTTATATTCATTAAATAAAAGTTAAAAAAAATAATACTCATGATAATTATGTGCAGCCAATTCCACAAATATTTTTACACTTATAATATATAGAATCATAGCATTTTGCATAACATATCCAACCTCTACCTGTAACTCTGTTTTTAAAAAAATTGTATTTGTTTGAGAGTTAGAGAGAGACAGACAGACTAACAGACAACCACAGAAGGCTCTCTTTGTTGGATCATTCACCAAATGCTTACAATGATTGGTGCTGGGCCAGCTGAAAGCCAAGAGCCAGAAACCTAATACATGCCTCCTGTATGTGTGGCAGGGACCAAACCACTTGAGTCATCACTCACTCCAAAGGGGCACATTAGCTGGAAGCGCGAGTCAGGAGCAAAGGCAAGACTCAGACCCAGCACTCTGATATGAGATACAGGTGTCCTAAATGCCAGGCCACATGCCTGCCCCCCACCTCTTTTTATGAGAAATAATCTTACATCATACGTTACCTGTGTCATATTTTTTAGAATGTGTCTCTGCTCTATGACATAAAGTTATTTACATATCTTATATTTCTTACTCGATAATCCATCTAGACAGTCTTGATTTTTTGGTGTTTTTTTCAGCATCTTACCTTGTGCCATGTCTGAATGGATGAATATATAACAATACCTTAAAAGTCAGAACCACCACCTCTTTCAGCATCGGATGCTAGAGACTCTCAGTGGTAGCACAATTTAAAAGCTGCAGGTGAGATGGAGACTTTTGGAGCAGGAGCAGGGACAGATGAGCATATTGTGAAACAGGAATGAGTCTCAGTCATCTGAGTAATTCATTTCTTGTGTATGAAATTTAAGTTGCTTTTTATAGTCAAAAGCTAGTTAGGATTCTCATTGTTGCCATTTTGTACTGCCAAATTATTTACCATTTTTTTTTCAGTTATCCTAGCAAAATACAATTTATTTACTTATTTATTTTTATTTATTTATTTTTTGCCAGTCTTTTTTTATTTAATATATGTAAATTTACAAAGTGCAACTTTTGCATTGTTGTGGCTTTTTCCTCCATAACCTCCCTCCCACCCGCAGCCATCCCATCTCTCACTCCCTCTCCCATCCCTCTCTTCATCAAGATTCATTTTCAATTATCTTTATATATAGAAGATCAACTTAGTATATACTAAGCAAAGATTTCAACAGACTGCACCCACAGAACCTCACAAGATATAGAGTACTGTTCGACTAGTAGTTTTACCGTTAATTCTCATAGTAAAACACATTAAGGACAGAGATCCTATGTGGGGAGCATGTGCCCAGTGGCTCCCGTTGTTGATTTAACAATTGACACTCTTATTTATGATGTCAGTAATCACCGGAGGCTCTTGCCATGAGCTGTCAAGGCAATGGAAGCCTTTTGAGTTCACCAACTCTGAACTTACTTAGTCAAGGCCATATCACAGTGGAGGTTCCTTCCTCCCTTCAGAGAAAGGTGCCTCCTTCTTTGATGGACTGTTCTTTCTGCTGGGGTCTTGTTCACTGAGATCTTTCATTCATTTCATCTCTCCTCTCTCTGTTACTCTGCTTTTCAAATAAATAGATAAAATATATATCTACAAAAAGTTCATGATTTTACTCTTATTGCATATGACACACTAATTTTTTAAATTTTTATAAGGAACTAATACCTGAGCTGTGGCTTAAAAAACACTTGGATTGGGAATCAATATGTATTGTATTTGGTAATTTAATAATGTAGTAGGTATTTAGTATAAAACAATTAAACTTTTATTTCATGTTGTATACATAATAAATTTATGCATGCAAAATAAAGAAAGACTAAAAAATCTCAGAGTAACATTTAGGTGTCTGCAAATGAGGAAGAAATTCTTAATGAATAGAAAAACCGGAAGATATATTCCGTTATGTGAAAACAATATTTTACATGATACAAGGTACCATAAAGTTAAGAGGAAAATACTAGAATCAAGGCAAATACATTTACAAAGAATACAATAGTAAATTGGCTACTCTCTATCTATAATATGCAAAAAACTGGAAGTTAAATGCAAACAAAACAACTCTGGGGAAAAAAAAGACAAAAGAGATGCAAAGCAATTTAGGAAAAAATAAAAATGGCCAGTGAATGAAATGAAAGATCCTCAAATGAGTAAGGGAATGTATATTGCAAATTCAATGAAATTATTTAATATTCATCAG